ATGCAATGGAGACCACTGAGGAAATGCAAGGAGAGAAACCAGCACACCCATGGCCATATCAGTGTGTAAATGTGAGTGTGAATGGGTGAATGTCTGTTAGTGTAAAGCGCTTTGGGGTCCGGAGGGACTTGAAAAGCGCTCTATAAGTTCAGTACCATTTACCATTATTATGCAAATTTTAGCTAAAATGTATCTCGTTTTAGATTTCAGCTATTGTTTGGCTATTTTTGCTTTTAGCTACTGTTCTCATGGTTTTAGCTTTCAGCTATCATTTTGTTAGTTTTAACATTTAGATACTTTTAGCTGGTTTTAACTACTGTTTTGCTAATTTTAGTTTTTTGTCACTGTTTTGCTGGTTTTAGGGTTTTGCTAGTGTTCTGAAATTGTAGCATCTAAATTTAGTTTTCCCAGTTTCAGCTTTTAAATTTGATTCTCGACTACTAAGTTTCAGCTTCTACATACTTCAGCACTCAGCAACTCACGCTGCATTAAAAAAAGCTAATTTTTCGAGCCACAGCTAATGTGATTAGTTTGTCTTTAAATGCTGAGTAACTGAACTTACTACCCTTAGTGTGCATCCAGTCACCCTCTAAAGCTGCAGGGGAGAGATGGGCCTGTGCAGCCAGTGTGTGTGTGCAGGTGGGGAAAAACAAAAAAGAAAAAGTGAGGGAGTGAGTAGGAATAGAGAACCACCCAGCACGCTGTTAGATCCTGCGGGCACTGTGGAGAAATGCCTTTAAAGATCATGTTAAATGTCAGAGACACTCAGACACACAGCAGTAGGTGCTCAGTCCCTCACTCTACAGCCAAACCAATTTACTGCAACACCAGAGACAGATCAATAAATACACACACGCACACACACACACACACCTTGTTGTTTGCCTGCCTGGCAGGAGAACACAGAAAGCTGAAGCTCGCGCTCCCCCACAGCCCATCTCCCAAACACAGATGAAGCCCACACAGGTGAGGAGAGCTGCTGCTTGGGTCAAAACACAAACAGTGAGCATCTCCAGACAGACTAAGAGGTATGACTGATACAATAATAGTGGTGGACAAAAAAAAAAATCCAGGGTGGAGCTGGGAAAGACCAGGTTAACACCACATCCGGTGTTTTACACCCACATAAGGCTATAAAAGGAGGAGGTGTCCGTACAGTTAGAGCTCGAGGGGAGGGAGATGTGAATAGATGAGTAAATAAGATGAAACAGGGATACAAGCAGCACACTGGGAACAGCAGTGGGGATTTTCTGTCTTCTCCCAACCTGTCTGTTTGTTTATTCCGGACACATTTTTTTTTTAACGGGAGGCGAGCAGATGCTCCTAACTCCTGGCATTGGAGATCAACATGCTCGCAGTCGATCCCATTTAACGTGATTGTTGTCGGCGTCCCACCGAGCCTGCCCAGGAGTGGGAACGCTGCCGAAACGTTGTGACGATACAGTCAGCACGCCTCGTGCCTCCTCCGGGGAGGACGGAGCGGTGATAGTTTTGGTGGAGGTTGATGGAGCAGAGAGATTCTGGAGCCGTCCCAGCACCGCCTGGCTGTTGCCAGACTCCCTGCCGCCCCCCACCACCACCAAAGCTCCATTCTCTATCCATGTTGGAAACCAACACGGCTTCGTTAAGGCGAATTAACCACCACTCTCGTTAGCTAATTAGCCCCCATGTCTGCAGTGCTACTGAGCACATTCCAAACAGAGGGAAGTCATTAGGAGGATTTATCTACGGCTGCCACTCTCTGGCACGCAGCTGCCTTGGGACACAGCGTGGTCCAGCTCTCGCTTAGGATGAGAACATCAGCTTGTGAAATGTTTAGTTTGTCTTTATTTTCAGACCACACACACACACACACACACACACACACACACACACACNCACACACACACACACACACACACACACACACACAGTCCCTCCATTGAAGAGTCTTAACCACCCCCTAAAACAAGTCGCTGCTCCAGGGAGCAGCAGGTGCACCGGTGTGTGTGTGTGTGTGTGTGTGTGTGTGCATCAGTCGCAGGCTCCTCGGGTCTGGCCTGCGATGAAGAGCAGGTGGTTGACTCCTGAGACACCTGCTTCACTGGTGGGCCTCAGTAAATATCAAAGARGCACACCAAGAGACTCGGGTGCACCTGGCATGCTCACAAACAGAACTCAAACGCATGAAAGTCTGCAAACACACATGTTGTGGGAGCATTGCTGCAGGTATGCGCCAACACACACACAAATCCAAAACAGCTGTTTAAACACATCATGCATCTGAAGATCAAGGGGAGAAAACTAATCTCATAAATCCTAGTCCCAAATGGTAATTAGTTTTTAAAGCCAATCCAACTCAAACTCCCACCTTTTAAACACATGTGCTGTTAGGACGGTTTGCACACTTTTGCAGGGCGGTGGTGAAAAAGTACCGTCAAGCCCTAAGGTCATCTTTCTGTTCTCACCTCCCTTTGATTTGCCTCTGTCGGACCCCGCCGGCCCGGTCCTGGGACAGGCACAGGGCCAGCACACGGAGGAAGATGTGGAAGGAGTTGGCAGAGCGATAGAGCTGGGTGTGACCTGCAGAGTGGAGGGGAGACGGAGAGCAGCAGCTGCGCGCCTGCTCCAACAGAGCCAGGGGCGTCTTACACACCGTGCCCAGGCCAGATAATCCCAACCAGGGCACAGTGAGGGAGGCGTTCTGGAGATGAGTGACAGAAAAGGTAGGAAGGCACGTTTTAGTAAAATGACCACAGCTTTTCAAACTTCCTGCTTTCTTTAGGTTTTTTTTTGTTCTTACCAGGTTTTTGCTGTAGTAGTCCCAGAGGGTAGAGACAGCAGCAGTGCTCGGCTCCCACAGCAAGCTCAGACTCAGACAACAGTGGACGTGCATCCTGACCTGCTCCTCTGCAAGACCACCCTGTTATAAAACYCAGACTTATAACTCGCATTGCAAAGAATAGAAAATGTATTCAAAAAAAGTAGATATAAAAGCAGAGCTTACCACGGGGCTACAAGTTAACTTGAGCAGCTCTCCTACAAATGCCCAGTTTTCTCCCAAATGTTTCTAAAATGTGCAGAAAAAGAATAACATATTTAAGAAACCTGACACCAATCTTGAAAAATCCACATTGTCGCCCAATTATTCAGAGTTTCCCATTTTAAACTCCATTCTTTTCCAGAGTCAAGATAACAGAGTTTGCTGTGAAGCTTTGGACCAATCATAAACATTTATTCATTATGTTAAATTTACATTTTACAGAAGTGTTTGCAGAGTCTGATTTTTAGTCTTCCATGCTTCAAAAATAAAATAACATAAAAAAACCGACTGAATGCAAGTGGGAAACATAAAAAACAAAGACTTCTGGGAAAAGATTTGGACTGAGTGGTCAACAACAATTAGCCCAGTCTATTGAAATATGTTGTGAAAAAACAATAAAAATCCTAAAAAGCACACTTAGCTAACCTGTGACTAAACCATTTTAAACAGTATATGGAGCTCATTGTACAGTTATTTTAATATAATTTTTAAATACATTTTAGTGCTGCTGTCATGCAAGTTGCTTGAAAAAATTTCTACCTTTATGCAAATGTGCAATCACTGCACATTTGAAGAACTTATTAAATATGTATTTAAGATCAGGGAAAAAGAGTCAGGAAAACAATTGTTTATTTATAATCCAATTCTTAACACACTTTCTCAGACGTGGAAAAAAGTAAAAACTAATTTCATATTTTTTTCAAAATGGCCCAGAACTCTGATTATTAAAAAGTGCAATAGTGTTGTTTTCAAAATCTCTTTTCTTTATTCTTCAAAGCTATAAGGGCTAATCATGGATGAAGCAACATGATGAAACAAGGACAGGGTTGATATAAAAGGCGTTGAGGTAGGATTTTCTTCCTATGCACACCTGCAATAACAGGAATAAAAACCAAATTACTGGGAAAAGACAAAGGTTAAAATGCAGCAGCTTCAGCTCTGTGTGCAGAGAATGGCAGATTTGGAATGAGCTCAAAGACAAGGTAAAATGTCACAGTCTCTCTCTATTTTCAAGAACAAATRCTTCTACCTATGTATGAATAAATATTGCTTTTATTAAGAATTTTGTTTATGAATGACCTGATTYATGCTCCATTGTTTCCATCTTATTTTATGTTTTGATTGTGGAGGTTTAACAGCTGGAGTCAGTTTGGACCGTGTGATCCACTGTAGAAACTARGGGTCTGAGTCTGGATTTTTTCATTACTGCACATGTTGGCAACGTAGCAAATAAACGGACTGATGATGTGCAAATTATAAAAACTATTARGGTAATAATCATTTTAACAAAATGATTTTAACAAAATGATTATTAATATTTTAGAGGGTATGAGCTATCTAATGCCTATAAAAAAGATCAGAAAGATGTGTGTGCCAACAGAACAGAAACAGGAAAACATCTCATTTCCCAAGTCAACAGATTTGATTTTTTTTTACCTCAATGTTAATGTGATCTGACCAGAACTGAAGCTAATAATTTGTTTAAAATTAAAATAAGCTTAAAAAGCCAATGTATCATTGTTAATTATTGAACTGATTAGCAGAAATTAGCTTCCGTAGCATTCTGTTATAGAGTGTAACACTCTGCTGAATCAGGCTATAATATTAAACAAATGACTAAAAATTACCATTCTTAACACACATTTGTGACCCCCGTGACCTTGAAAGGAAGAAGTGGGTATAGATAATGGATGGATGAGTGGTTGGATTAAATATTACAGCTGATTTATCCTCTGGTTTAGGTAATAATTACAGTGTAAAATAATATTTTATGTTTGACTATTTTTAATTTTGTATTAGACAAACCTGACCTTTTGAGAAGATAGTTAGCCAGTATCTATCTATGGTCTACAGTGAACATTTTTCTAAGTTTCGACTGGTAAGTATTTATTATTTGATATGACAGGTAAGAAATATTAAATATACTTTATTAGTTGAAGTCAGAGTTTTTCAACTAGCTAAATAGTCAAAGTTATTGCCTAACTTCAGGTCTGATTTAGATAATTGTTACTTATAAACTGTATAATTTTTCTGGTTTATATCGGCTGTTTTACATGATTGTTGAAAGAAAATAACAATTATATTAACTTATTGTAAAAATAACAGATAATGTGTGACACAGATCCAGTTGCTGCTGATTTGATAGTTGCTATAAAAGTTGTGAGCCGACGCCCTGTTTGGTCGCCATTTTTGTTTCTACATGTTGTCACAGATGCTTACAGTGAACGGGATAGGTCGGGCTCAGTCTAGTGATATTCAACTCTATGGTTTTGACATAAATCCGACCTGAACAAGTTTCAAAGGTTAGCCATTTTATCTTGATTGTCCTTTAAAGGTAATCTGAATGTTGGAATTGTCTGTTGTATTATGTTTAGTATAAGCATGTCTTTGTTGTTGTTTACACGAGAAACTGTTAAAGGTTTTAATGGCTTTCTTGGGGTGACCCTTTGTATTGTGGAATAGTCTATTGTGTGTACAGCGGGTAAAATAAGTATTGAACACGTCAACATTTTTCTCAGTAAATATATTACTAGAGGTGCTAATGAC